ATACCCCCAAAAACCCCCCCACATACCCCCACAAAAAAAACAAATCCCCCCCCCCCCAAAAAAACAGCAAAGCATGTTTGATGGAAGGTAAAGATGTGGAAGATTAAAGACGACCTTTAATTTCCACAACTCTCAGAACAGGAGGTGCACGAGTCAACACTCAGATAAAGTGGAAAGCTGGTAAATTTTGAGCTGTGTTTTGCCAGCACAGTAGAATTCAACTGCAGGACCGAATAATTCTAAAGCTTCAAGAGTCCTTAAACATTATCCACTTCAAACTGTTCTGCAGATATATAAGCAATCTGAAACCCAGAGAGCAAAGCACTCCATGTCCCCAAGACAACAAGGTACCCTTGGCCCCAGACCTCTGGTCTCTGATCCTCCCCCTAACTGGCCCTCTGCTTTGGCTGAGCTAAGGTTGATCCTTGTGGAGACAGAAAACTCTGTGCACCCCACTTGTCCCAACCTCTGCTGAGCAGAAAATTAAGAGTATTTTAAAAATGACAACTCTGCTCAACACAGATGGGCTCTGTGTAACATGTAGGCCAGAGACAATGTGATTCAACAAACTCTGTCATAGAATGGAAATTATAAATTAAGATGATAGTTGATAGTGTCTGAGGTTGCCATGATGTCTGTTAAAGAGGCTTATACTGAATTCAGATATTACATGGGTTCAAGGGGGACAATTCCCAGTTTCAAAGCAAACCAACACAGTTTTTGATGACCAAATAGAAAGGGGAAGAATATTAAGATGAAAGAGAGTGGTTATTTTGAAAAAAACAAAATATCTTCTTAGAGCTAAAACTTTGATAATGTAAAGCTTAAAATTCTTATTTTACAGGTGGAGAAAGTGAGATAGCAAAGAGCAAATGACTCAGACTGGGTCACCGGGTCAGTTAGCACAACTAAATGTGAGAAGAAAGGTTTCTGTCTCTGGTTCAGAGCTTTTCAGTACTCCGTAAGTCCACAAAACATCTATCTCCGTGTCAAGAGAAGAGGACAGAAGGACACTTATCCTCTATATGCCATGATTTCATAAATCCTTTTTCCCTTTTCCTTTATTTCCTTTCCCTTTGACAGTCTTACCATATAGTTAAAGCTATCCTTTCACTCATGATCCTCCTGCCTCCTTCTCCAGAATACTGGGATCACAGGCATCTACTATCATGCCTGGATTTTTAGAAATGCTTTATTTACTCACTTACTTAGGAATTTACTGAATTATTTATTTCTAGTGCTGGGCATCTAACCTTTGGGCATGCCAGCCTCGTCCTCTATTTCTGTGCTACACGTCCAACCCTGGTTCTCAGGTAATCTTCTACACATAAATGCCAACCTACTGATAATAAGACAAAAAGAGAACAATGCTGCACACTTGAAATGTCACACACTTTGAATTTTATATTGTACTCATATTAATGAGTTCCTGACAGAAAAAGCAAACACTAAGTGAATACCACCAGGGAACTTACATTCTGGTGTTGCTAGTCTTGTTGATGATGACAGATTTTCCAGTTTGATCTACATTGTGATCCAAACCGAAGTAGGCTGCCACACGGTGGACAAGCATCCTCTGATAGGATGACATCTGGGGGAACTTTTTATAGTGATTACTGGAACAGAATCAGAAGAAAAATGGAATCAACACCTTCATTTACTGTTTGTAGTACATTTCACAGGGATACACAGAGCTGCTTCCATTCTCCCCCAAATCTTTCATCTCTTTCATTTTTCCAACATCATTTAATGCCCTCACAGGCAAATTTCCACTCATCAGAGATTTATTGATCAAGCCACACTAGGTATCACTGTTTTGTAGTTGCATGTTTGTCTGCTGGAAAGTACTCTGGTTTGGTTCATGATACCTTATCAACACAGTCAGGCAGAGGACGAACTACATGACATAACAGGAGATTGCAGATGTCTATCTGGAGATATGTCATTACCCAGTTTACACTGAAAGCAGCACAATTATTTCCAGGCATAACTGACTGCAGCCAGCTGGAGCCCATTACAAATCCATAATAAAAATGAAAAGGGTTGCTTCGTGTTTCAGCTAATCAGTGGACCCCTGTTTATGGCCTTTCTGTCAGGAATTTAACAAGCAGGAACACACATGGTCCAAGCAACAGTTCTCATCAGTGCAGGACTAGCACAAAATCCATTGACCTCTCCATTTAACAAATCAAGACCCATAGCAAATGGTCCCCAACTCTTTCTGAAATGAGTAATTTAACCCAAATATGAACTAAGACACATCATAAAATGAGTGAGCATTGCTGTGAAACATACTTGTTGTCACCAATGAAATCGATCATTTCCTGCTCCATTTTCAGGAGTATAATCCTGTCCCTGCAAAACAAATGTTCAGACGAAAGTTTCATGTCTTTTCCACTTCTAAAGTGCATATACAGTTTGTCAAATGTAAGGAAAAGAATATCTAGTTGGTGTGGTTACACACCTGTGGTTAATTCATCTTTAGAATATGCCGACTATTTGTTAATATACCAAGCCTTTGAACTCAAGATTACACTTCAAAAATCTCATTTGTTAATACTAACTATGACATTCAAATTTTTGAATCCTAAAATGCAACCAGTAAGTATTTTAAATCAAAAGAAAATGGAAATGGAGTAAAGCTCAAATACTGATTGTAGATGGGTATGTAACTGTATTGGGGCATAACTGATTTATTTAATATTGACCATTTTTATTCTCTATTTCTTTCCTCCTGAATCAATCATTCTGGGGGTCTAGGAAAGTAAAGCTGGTAAAACTATAATGTATGCAGTGTTTATGCAAATATTAGGTTTATCCATCAACAGGATCATGCAAACCATTAATATAAAGGAAAAAGTACGGGAGAGACTTCAGAGATGGTATCTGTATTTTATACTTGATGTCTTAGAAGTGTTTTGATAAATCACTTTGTAATAGTCCAATCTTTTCAAAATAAAAGGGTAATTTAACAATTTACCTGGAATTGTTCTTTAGAGTGTTAATCAGAAACTCGTGCAAGTCTATGCCTGTAGAGTCCGTATATTCTTGGCTGCAATCTGAAACGAACAGGGGAGGGGATGAATTCTCAGGACTGACAGGCACAAACAAGGTGGGAAAGAATTTCCAGCCCTTTCAGTTCTCTTCCTAGGTAAATTTAAGAGGGAGATCTGGGTGTCAAGGTCCCTGCCACCTAGCTGAATAATATCAGAATGGAAAGGAGATTTGAGGGTTGGAGTGATTCTGACTGTGGGAAGACCCCAGTGTCAGAGAAGGAGAAATGTGCAGAGAGGTGGTGTTGATGGTAGGGGGTGTCAAACATCACGTGTTCTCTCTGCACTGTAAGTCAGCAGGGCACTGCCTCCTATGACAGGCAGGCCCAACCCACAGAGACCTCAAGAGCTTGAGATCTTATGACAACCCTTTCCTCTTAAAAGAAAGAAGGTTAAAAAAAAGAAAGTTCTATTATGAAACTATCTAAATATTAATCAGTACAAAATATGAAGGGTGATAAATATTTCTAAGCCTTTTCAATTCTCTTGATGATGGATAAATCTAGATTTCTGTAACTGGCTTAGAAATCTGTATTTCTTTTTTTCTCCTGCTTACCTTAATCTTTAGATTTTTCATTGAGCCAAGAGGTAATGATGCTCATCAGGAATATGTTTGTCCAGCAGAACACTGAAGGTGGTTGTCATCTGTCATTCCTAGCCTGATCAGATAGATGCCTTGTGCTCTCTTGGATAGAAAGCAAGTCTTCCGTATGACTCTCTTCCTCACAGCTTGCCTTAACACTGCTTTGTGTAAAAGTTCTAAACCACAGGACTGTGGTTTTTAGAGAAGATGGCTACTTTCAAGGAGCGTGTATATTTTTCTAATGAAACAGTATGTCATAGCTTTGGGAGCCTGAAGTCTGTCCGAGAACCTGCCAACCTGCACACCCTTGCTTGACTTACTAAGGGAAAGTTGCTAAGGTTGTTGCTGTCTGTCTTCTAAGATAAGCATGGGAGGGAAAATAGAAAAGTGGGTATCACTATTGTTCACCAATCCAAGTCAGTTGTCAATGAACCTGAATGCAAGAAGAGATTTGAATTTCCTCTTTTGTGTCAGCTTGTCACCAAGAACAGGAGATTCAAATGCGAATCCAAAGAAATACGTGATTCTAAAAATAACCTCTCTAGCTATACAAATAACCGGCACGAACAAAAGGAAAGTCAAGGTCGCCTCTTTTACACACAAACATGACCACATAGAAAATGAGCCAGAGTGTCCTGGGCTGTGAACACCTCTGTGTAATTTACTTCATCTTCTGGTTATGCACATGACCAAATTAAGTAAAATAAGCAAAGGTTTTCACATTCACCTTTTGGTAACATTCTGATCTTGGGTCTCTCAGAGGGTTTATCTTTGTTTTTATCCTTTTCTTTTTCTCTCTCACAGTCATCCTTTCTAGATTTATCCTCCTCTTGAAGGCTTGGAAAACTGGAAAGCTGTAAATGAATTGATTCCTGTTGAGGAAAAAATATAATAATTTAAGGCCAGATTTAATCACCTCTATCTGGATTCCATTTTGCATAGAGGTTATTAAGTGTAGAAAAATGAAAGCCAGGTATGGATTTCTGTTTTCTTAAATGGTTAAAAAAAAAAAAGAAAAGAAAAATTAAGCCTGTCAGAAAAAGAATAATTGCCATTTAAGATGAACTGAACTTCAGAAGTCAATGGGAGGTCAGGAGAAAAATCTTGTCCTAAAACTTTGCCTCATGAATATTAACGTTTATAAGCTAAACTCCTGTAGATCACAACTCTTATTTTCTCTACAGGTTTACTTTAAAAAAAATTCTTTTATCAGCAAGCTTGCATTGGAAGCACCGTGATGTGTAAAACAGCCATATTTAGTTCCTTCCTATACTTCCTTATAAGGAGAAACTGGCATGCACACCGTCAAACAGGTTATAAGAATCACAGTTACAGATAGAACAGAGAGGAAAAAAAAAGTGCCCAAAAGCTAATTTACTACAGCCGTGTTAAAAATGATAGCTATACCACAATAAAACAAGCCCTGTAGTGGTTGGAATCCTAGGTCTGGGTCATCAGGATTGCTTAAAATGCCATTAAGGGATCATCATAATATGAAGGTATAAAAAGTATTGCATTTTAGAAAATGTAGTAAGTATGGTTACATTTTTTTGGTCTAATATATATATTAGATAAATATATATATATATGTATGTGTGTCAGTTTGCTCATATATATGTATATGTTTAATATATACATATATGGTCTAATATATACTATATACATATATATGTGTGTATATATATATGTATATTCAGTGTGAGTTAATTCTTTCCCAAACAGATTCTCCTGAACCACTGCTTGGTATAAAACTGCAATATCAGACTTGGAACTACTTTTCTATTTATTTGTTTTTGTGTGCTTGAAGCAGATCAGTTTGTATTGATTCACATATAAGTAACCTTTACTTTGATTGTGCATTTACCGCTTTGAAGAAGAAAGAATTGAATCATGTTTTGCTCGGCGTTTGGTCTTTTGTTTTTGAAAAACCTATGTTGATTACAGCTGCGGGGAATCGGCCCATGTGAAGCTAGCTTGCTTTTCTGAGATTACTCAATAGCAAAGTACTATGATGGGGTGGGGAAAGAGTCCAGTGAGGAATGGTGTCTCTTACAGAAAGCTTTGCTGGAGATCACTTGGCCTGTGACATGGGATACTGGATCTTAACTGTGCCCAAGTTGGGGTTCATAATGGCTCTGAGCAGTCTGGCTAATCTACCAAATGTAAAGCAGCACTCCTTAAGCCAACTGTGTGCTTTGGGAGGTACTCCATCATAAACGATGACTGGAATGAAGTCATCATGCTTGAGAAAAAACTCCGTGTTACAGGAGACAAAACATGATACAGAAGGTAAAACATACTCTTGTTATAAATCTTTAACTAAGCTGGTTTTCTGACTTCCAGGAGGTTATCCTGGGGATAGACATATACATAAAACAGAGCGTGAATCGACTGTTGACTTCCATCACATGATTTGGGACAGAACTGTTGTAATCAGTGAGGGTTCAGGAAGGATCTGGGGTTTTGATTTCCTTCTACTTCCTCAGGAAATTCCTGAGATATTTATGGCTTAGAAGATGTGTCTGAGGCTGGGGTGAGGAAGAATCAGTCCACCAACTGATTTGGAGAGAAGCTGTGGGCATGTGGGTCATGAGAGCTTCTTCAAAACTGTTTGAACTATACAGCCTCTCTAAGGTAGAATCTAAAATCAAGCAGGTTTTGACATATATTATATGCTGAAGAACAGAGCCTAAAGACATCCAATACACAAAAATGTGCAAACTCATGCTGTGCGTTGACAAATGCAATACTCAGAAAAAAATAACGTATTTTCTACACATAAGTATACAGTATGGTGTAGAAAGAACACACAAAAGTGCTTTAGAGTTGGTAAAAAACAATCTGTAATTTTTTAATATTTTTATTGATATGCTCAATAATAAAATACAAGTGTTAATAAATACATTGGTACAGGATAAGATTATATCCAACAACAGTAAAAGAATGATTCAAGTTGCAGTAATACACTGGTCAATAAATAGTATAACAATAGAAAAGCAAACTTCCTTTAACTCAAAGACAGACTGAGCCATCAGGTGCGGGTCTGAATCAAGTAATACAGGTAGCAAGAGTTTTCCCCACACAGGAAAATGAAGGCAGTTTTCCAAATACTGTGAATATACAAACATTGGGGAAGCGATACATTCCATGTACTGTATACTTCTGTCACTGTTCTCTGGAATTCAGTCCACACATTTTGTAAGTGTCCGGCGGTATCTAGTGAAAGCACTGCATATAAGCTCAAAGATCTGGTTCCCTATTCTCTTAAAAAAAAGAAAAAAACGGAGCATGGCCACTTGCTTACATGTGTGTCTGGTTGCTTCCTAACATCCCCTGTTCCCATCACTCCTTGGCTAGCCAAAGAGAAGCTTGTGGGCTCTGATTCTGTCCTCCAAAACTAGTCCTGTTGTCTGAGTTCAGAGCAGCAGGAACAAAGCACCTTGTGCAAGAACTGTGAAAGAACTACTAGATCTGCATCTGGAATGGATGCTACGTTAGAGATGACCCTTGCAGAAACTCTCCCTGTACCCTGTCAAGTGAGCTAAAGAGGAGATGAAGTCTGCGGTGGCTGGCCTCCTCTGCCTGGCTTTAGCAGTGAGGGAAAACTGGGCCATTAGTTCTCCCAGAGTCTGTCATTCTGTAGAGCTTCACATAGATCATGTGCCGTACATTACAAGCCATCAATCAACATTGAATAATACAAGCTGCGATAGTCACGTCATGCCCCGCTTTTCCATCTCCATTAAAAATAGAAGCACAAGTAAAATGCTAAAGAAAAGCAACACATTTCTCAGAGCCCAAGTCAAAAAAAAAAAAGGCTGTATATGAAACACAGTAACAGTTACTGAATGACAGCCTGCCCATGCCTCTTGACATGAGTGTTATGGTAAGAAAATGAGACTAGAAAAGAAAATACTCTTAAGACAAAAAATCTATAAGGAATTTTTTTTTTGGTCCCTGTTAAAGAAAGTGGTCTTGATGCTCTTGATGTTGGTGAGACAATTTAGAGGATTTCAATTAAAGTTTAAAAAACAGAAAGAGAAAAGCAATAACAAATCCAAACAAAAATAATGATTTTGTAATCAATTTTCCCTCCCTTGGGCTCAGACAAATCATTTTACTTTTGTCTTGACTGCTCTCAGCCTCTGATAAAATATACAAAATTTCAGCAGCAAGACTATTTTTCCAGAAGTCAGTATGATGGTTAAAAGGCAAACAAAAGTAAATAGGATGTGAGAGATTCCATTTTGTCACTGGAGAGCTTTCTTGGAATTAAAAAAATAAATTTGGAACCTAATCATCTTGCTGTAAGGAGCAAAAATAAAGGTGAAGAGATGCAGCAACTCATTAACGTTAAATTTACCATCAGCTCTCATTCATTTCTGAACAATTTTTGCAGTATTCAAAAAAATCTTCCCCAAAGGCCATAAGGATATTTCCTCAAAATTCAGGGCACCTCAGACACTAAATCCTTAACTCTCATAGGAGCCAACAGTGGTGTTTCTTATAGGCAGGTGCATTTGGGGAGCTGAGAGGTAACCGTCCCCAGCAAGGAAGGAGACAGGATGTTTAGGGCTATATTTGGTTCAGCCTTATCAAGAAAGAGCCTTTGTGGAAATCCAGCACTACGGTGCTTACTTTTTTTAAAATTTAAGGTTAATCTAAGTTCTTTTGAATTCCTTTCCATTTGCAGTTTTCAGAGAGTCTGGAAAAAAACAAACGTAATATCCTGTGATTTACTTTTCAACTAGTGACTGTGAGTGTGTGTGCCTGTGTGTTGTGTGTGTGTGTGTGTGTGTGTGTGCAGGTATATGTACATATTTGTGGAGGGGTATGTGTGGGTGTATGTGCACATTTGTGCAAGTGTGTGTGAATTCAGAAGTCAACCTCAGGTGTTTTTCTTCTGGCGTCATCTACCTTTTTAGATTAGACTTTAGCCTGACTGGCCAGTGAGTTCCGGGTATCAGCCTGCTTCTTCCTCCCCAGGCTCAAATCTTGTTTCTCTCTCTCTCTCTCTCTCTCTCTCACTCTCTCTCTTTCTCTCTCTCTCGCTCGTTCACTCTCGCTCTTGCTCTTGCTCTTGCTCTCCAATTACTATTTTCATGGTTTTATATCATATTAAGAATGGGTCATGCACACAGAGATCCAGCTCATGAGATTCCTACTAATTCCAGGGGTAATACCTGATCCTGAAGATTTTCTCCTCCTGGTCTGGAAGAGGACTCTTCACAGACAGCAAGACTGCGGGTCAGTTTCCCTTTTCCTGCTCCTGACTGGAGATTGAGAAGGAAGATAAAGAACAGAAATAGAAAACTTTCTCAGACCGCCATGCGTACACAAAATCCCGTTGATTTTTTTTGTTCCAAGACCCATTGTACTGAAGGGTTCTGTGTACCAAGAGCAGAGATAGTGTCAGAGCCTGTGTCAAAGAGGAAAGGATCAACTTATATAACAGTTCCAGCCATTTGGGCCTATCGGAGTGATGGATGAACTGCTGCCATTTTGTGAAAATATTAGGAGGAAAAAATACTTGAAAAAATGAATTTCCATTAAAACTAAGTTTGAGGAGATTTGACTAAAAAGATGATCTAAGTACTGAAAAGCATTGATTGCCCAGCTCTTTCCAGGTCAAAGTCATTGAGGACATTGAGCCAATCTTATCAACAATAAAAATCTAGCAGATGTTGGTTTTCGAAAACACAGCTAAACTTCCCAGTGCAGCAGACCAAAATGTGAACATTTCCAGGTGGTCAGACTCTGAGTGCTCCAATGGAGAAGCACGGGTAGAAGGCCAGCCAGCACCCACCACAGCCCCTGAGCTGCTGGCACATCCCTCTGCTCTGATGGGGAATAGGCTTTGATGGTGCTTGCTCTCTGGGGAATTTGAAGATTCCCTACCTTGGATTTTCTTCTCTCTTGGTTCTGAGCTGCCAGCCGCCGCTGTATGGTACAAAAAAGATAAAAAAAAAAAAAAAAAAAAAAAAAAAAAACCTAAAACGAGAAGAGAGGAAAAGGGAAAAAACCTTCGATTTCACTGATAACAGCCTAGGTTCCAAATGTTTCCTTTGTGGGTTGGTCCATAGAAAGTGCTCATGTTTGGGAATCAATTCAAATTGATGAAGTGGATTTGCGAGTCCAGTTTGTCCTGCGTGGACCAACGCTTTCCCCTTATAGATCATAATGCATCTGACCATGCCTCTTTCCTGGTTCCTCAGTGGCTCCCAGTACTCACCCCCCTTTAGCCTCCTTTTGTGTCCTGACTCTTTAGCTGTGGGTTCTTGAGCTTAGATTCCTCTGATAAGAAGATCTGAATCTCCACATGCCTATGCATGGCTTTGACAATTCTTAGCTCTGAGACTTTTCTTGGAATAGTGGATTCATGTTAAGACTCTGAGAGTCTAAAGCCGCCTTTGCAAAGTATTACAGCTTGAGATGGTCGAGCAAGGGCACTGGACTGCCACATGCAAACTCGGCAATTAAATGTATTCCTTTGATTTTTTTTTAAAATCACAAAAGACATTTTATGACTTCATTCATTCAGGAAAAACAATCAGAAGAGGATTGCTATATAGATTTCCTAGTTTCAAATTCCTAAAACAATTTTCAAAACCTTCTAGAAATAAAGGAAGGATGAGGATGAGGGTCACCCCTACTCACCTGCAGTTCCAGCTTCTCCTCCTCATCCAGGCTTTCCGATTTGAGTATGCCATTCTCTGGGGCAGACTCCGGCTCAGTCCGACCTTCCTCCACTATGGCCGGGTTCAGTTCTCCTTGCTCAGACATTCTTCCAGATGAAAATTAAAACAACAAGGTTTTAGGTCCTAGAAGGTTACAGTATCAGAAAATAAAGTCAGTGCAGGGAAACGTTTCCTGATAAGCTGAAGATCTCTCATGTCTCCCTGAGCATTCACATTCAGATAAGCAGCTCTGGCATCCCCAGCAACTTGACACACACAGCAGGACAGAGCAAGATGAAACCAAGCAGCTAATGCATACACAGGAGGCAGGTGCACCACCCAAGCCACAGCCCCTGTGCACATGCCTGCACACTTGCCAGTACACCGTCTGTCAAAATGAATCAACAAATCTTAACAAAGACTCATTGCTCCCACCCAACCACCAGGTCCTACTTCCCACTACAGACTGAAAGAAGAAAATGGAAATAGTTCTCCAACTTCCCAACAGGTAACCCACAACTTCTGAGCCAAGAGGTCATACTGATGGGCAGCAGCACCTCTGACAGGATTCAAAAAAATATTAAGTTGCAACCATAGCAACACTTCCCTAGCAACAAAGACTACAATTCATTCTATAAGGGACAAAACCCAGGTGGAAAAACAATGATTCTCAGGATAAACATGAGATCTAATTTTGGCAATGAACCCTCCAGGGTCAGCATATCCAAGCTTCAAAGTGACAACTGCATCCCTCAGTAGCAGCAGCACCCCCCTGCTAGGCTTCTGTCAGGCACCTGTGCGAGCTGCAAGCTCCTGAGGATGGAGCCCAGTGGGCAGCACCAGCAACTGTCCTGCCACTGTTCCCTGCCACCGCACTCACAGCACTGCTGCAGACAGGAAGTGGCTTTTCAGACTTCAAGTCTGCTATTATTTTTCCTCTTTACTTCCATAAAATCTCTGACATGTCTGATGTGCTCACAAAGAATTTAGCATTTACCTTTTTTACTTCCTGCTCATTTGCTCTAAGTATGAGAAAGGGGGAGGGGAAGGGAAGGGAAGGGAAAGGAAGGGAAGGGAAGGGGACAATGGAAGGGAATGGTAGAAAAGGGAAAGGAAAGGGGAAGGGAAGGGAAGGGAAGGGGAAGGGAAGGTAGGGGAGGGGAAGGGAAGGGAAGGGAAGGGAAAGGAAGGGAAGGGAGGGGAAGGGAAGGGAAGGAAGAAAAGAAAGAAAGGAAGTTGGGAAAGAGGAGGACCGAATCCTGGGGCAATAGCAGTTTAGAAAGCTACTCTCTCACCTAATTCCCCACCGGTGATCACTCCATCCCCAATGGCAACTGTCACGTCATTAGACCTGGCAGTGTTCAGGTACTTCCTTGAGACTGGTTTCATTACCATTTCTTAATGTAGTAACTTTATTTTCAACTGGAGATCAGAAGCATGAGAAAAATCTATGCCACGGCAAATTTGACTGCAAATATGCTAAAGCCCGCTGTGATGGAACAGATGGCATGTAACCAAATCTTTAAAGTACATAGGCCTGTTTGGAAAAGGATTGTGGGACTGACTGTAGGAGCGAAAGTTTCCCTACAGGGGATGGGGGTTTGAGACCGTAAGTGGACAGTGTGCAGTGCTTTCCAGTTAGGGGAGATTTTAGGATCCAGCACTTTTGGGCAGATTTCTTTTATCTCAGTGTCACTCAGCCTGGGTAGCTAACTAAATAAAAGTCCCATTTCCCATTGTAGAATAGCTTGCTTTCTCCATGGTGTAGGAGAGGGAGAGAGAACTGCTGCCCCAATTCAATTTTCAGAGTGCGTCAGTAAAAAAAACACAGATTGTGACCAAATTTAAAACAGAATGAAGGAACTGAGTTCTAATTTTCCAAAGTGTAAATGAAACAAATCCCCTGAGACAGGTCCCGACCATGAGGGTTGCAATCTGTGAACTGGTCTGTGTACACAGGCAGACTCAAGTAACGTGAATAGCAATAAAATACAGTTGAGACGCAGCCAGACAAAAGCTTTACCTTCCGCACAAGCTTCCTGCTTTAGGTCTGAGTGAATGACTGGCAGCTTCTGTCGTTCTGCACCAGGAGAATCCACACAAAGTGATCACAGATAACTGGCGTCCCATGTCCCCATTAGCAGTTCCGAATGCCCATCTTCCGGTGGCTCCCTTACACAGTTTGACACATGGTCGTCAACCTGAAAAAAGATTCACAGTAAATCATCATGGCAATAATCGTGTTCGGGTGAAGCACAAAATAAATAAGACTGGGTTTCTAACACTAATGACCAGCTTCCAGCAAGCCCCACTCCCAGCGTGATCCCGCTCCACCTGTCCCAAGCTGCTCGCTTCTTCTCTAATGAAGGCTACAGCCGGCTGTTCAAGTCAGAGCGGCACCCACGCAAGGAGCTAAAATTAACAACTGAATTATGCACCAAAGATTACTCACTTCAATTTTAACCTTTTTTAGTGAAATCTCGCACTTTGTATTTAAAAAAAAAAAAACAAGTTTGTGTTTGCCTCAATGAGAATCAAAGTCACCTATGAGCCAAACACTTGCCTCTGTTTTCTTCTAATCTGAAGCCTTTGACTAAATGATAGATGGATGTGAAATGCTCCAATTCTGTGCCTGTGACTCTTTTATGAGCCATATCTTCATGAGGTGTATGTATGTGTTTTGGTTTAATGAGGAGTTATCTATAAAGTTTAAAAGAAAAAGAAAAAAGAAAATAGAAAGTTTCATACTGGCACTGTTGAGAGGGCACTTTTTACTCCACTGATAGTTCAAGAAGAATTTCTAATATTCCTGTTGCATGTTGGATCTCTCCATACCCCTCCCTTCCCACGGGACAACTCTACCAGCTGCGCATTCCCTGTGACAGCAAAGAATTGCTGTCGGAGGAAGCAACAGATTGGCACACTCCAAACCCCTTACAATCCATGCCTAACGTGTTCTTTCTTTTTTCATAACTCCTGCAGGAGCAGCACAGTCAGCTTGAATACAAACAGAAACAGACAGTCAGGCTCCTGATAGCATTTGCCAAAAGCAAGCCTCAGCTCTTCCATTCACTCCAAGTCTCCAGGGGGCACATCCACAAACTCCAGAACTGCACACCAGCCCCAGTCCTGTTACTTTCTGCCAAGACACTAGCTGTATCCAGCTGTCAGCTTCGCATACTGCAGACCCCTTTCTCTCCTTGCCATCCCCTCCCCACTAGCTCAGATGGGCATGGCTGGCTCCTCTCAGGACTTGACTGTGGCTATGTTAATAGCATATTGGGTTACAAAGCCATTTGCTATGCAAGAGAGAAACAACTGTTGAACATGCGATCATGTATTCCATCAATAATTTCTGGATTTATTCATCCTTTATTCAGATGAATAGCTTGGCTCTAAAATATACATCTTTTGCTAGAAATCATACTGCTATTAGGATTAGGTACATATACATCTCGAACAGAACGTATCACTAATCTACAGTCATTTTAATTTTCTATTTTGACCTCTTTTACCATGACTACTAAAACACACTCAACATTACATAGAAATCTTTAATTAAGGATCAGTTTAACTAGCAAGTCCATTATCTGAAATAAACACTAATGTTAGATAAAATTACCAAATGCTTTTGTGTATTCTGTTTTCCCTTTTTCCAAGTCCAATGAAGGAATCATCAGTCATTGCACCTTTGCCGCCCTTTGCTGCCTCTTGCATTTGTGCAGAGGCATTTCATCCAGCAGGCAAATGACAACGGATTTCCAAATCTAAGCCCAGATACATATCCCAGCTTCAGTAGGAGGATGCAAGATATAGTTTTTCCCAAGAAGACAGAACAAGCTCATGTTCACGTAACTGCCCAAGTGCTAACAGCCTGGATCTGTGTGTGTGCGTAATTACCAGAACACGTTTTGAAATAGAACTGAGCTCTAAAGTCAGCGAGGTATTATTCTTGCATGGCTGAGTCATAAAGTCATCATCTACCAAGATAAAAGGGAATACGGGCATATGGAAGTGAGCAGAGAGAAGCATATGGATCGCAAATATTTTTGTAACTGATTAAAATTGTTCTCTTTGCTAAGAAAGTGGTGCCAGAAATCCAGCCCTACTCCAGCTATCTGCTCGCCAAACCAAACCCACTTCTGCACTGCCATTTCAGCCTCACGGGCTCCAACTGCTCTCATTTTTGTAAGGAACTAAAACCATGTCTAACCAATACTTTTTCCTGGTGATATTTTATTGATAAATTTGGTTACCACATTTTACTTTTTAAAGTCAGAAAAGGGAAGAAACTTTATTATAAGACAGAGTGTATATATATGACACAGAAGGAAAACTACTCAAGGTTTTTAGTAGAAATACTATCATTATTTTATAGTTATTTGTTTGATTTTGTGTGTGTGTGTTTATATGCATGAGTGTGCATGTATGTCTGGTCAGAGGACAACTGCAGGAGTTGAATCTCTCCTTCCCTCATGGTTCGGTTGGTTTCCAACTCAGGATGTCAGACTTGGTGGTAAGGGCTTTTCTTTACCTAATGAACCACGTCTCAGCCCTGGCAGTATGATTTTTAATCCTGAGTTTGGAAGTATTCTTTAGCAAAACTATTAATGCAATGACTGTATGAAAAACTGATCCACACTGCTATCAGCTGCCTTATAAAGAAAACAATGAATAAGATGATCATTTCATTCGTTTGTGATGCTTTCTTAAGTCGTATGCTCAACTTAGGATCAACAAACAATAGCAACTAAGGTTGCGAGATTGAGGAAAAGAGCTGGAGAGAACACAATACAAAGCCCTTGTATTCTGCCTTTTATTGTCACCAACAAATTGCATGTACCTTGTTTTGTGTGTTACAGATACTAATCACTGCCGCGTACATAGCAGAACAAAGATGAGCATTTGATTTAAATTCCAGCTGAAGGGTGGATGTAAATGGGAAATTACAGACGAATTCTATTTTAAAGCTGCAATGCTCATTTTCTTAGTTATTTGCTTCATAACACATGAAAAATTAACGAGATGACTAAGCTGGTGCTAAATCAGCACCAGTGCTTTATGACAAAACAGCACAGTCAAGAGATATTCATTTGGACAACTTCATGGTCTGTCCCTTGCCACTTGCTTTTTCAGATGGTCCCATATCAGCAAATGAAAGCTACTTGCATTCAGAAGGGACAGTAGAGATTTGCCACATTTCTGGATAAAGTAGAAACACTGCCAAACTAAAATGCCATTCATTGTCAAAGCAGTTATTTAAAGGAATTTTAGCATGTGAGGTTAAGTTTAAAGAGGGTTCCAAAAATTGGAATGCAAGCCGTTCATAAACAAGGATAACTATAACATGAATTGTGTGTAGGTCAGTATCTCCAGCACATCCGGAATGTTCCTGAGGTGACAGAACAATCTTTGTGAAATTCTCATAAATTTAATTAGTCAAAGGAAGATTTATTCTTTGATAAGTATAAGAGCCACTTACTAAGAACTCCACCCATTAGTTAAGTTCTTTTTTAGTGAACCAATATGCAAACATTTTGTAAGATTATTAAGTTAGCATGTAAATGAGAGACTCATCAAAAAACATTTTGGAGAAAAAGCTTACGAGGAGAACTCTGTATCTAGGGGAAAATATTAAGAGTAGGATTGGAAGAAATTCAAACATTTTATACAAATATTCCTTTTTAAGACTTAACTTTAATTAGGAGTGTGTCTGTCTGTGGGGTTGTGCTACTTTCAGAGTTGAGAAGAGGGAGCTGAATGCTCTGGAACAGGAATTGCAAGAAGTTGTGAGCTGCACAACAACCCAGGTCCTCTGCAAGAGCAGCATGTGTTCCTAAACCACTGCGCCAGCTCTACAGCCCCTATACGAGTATTCCTTAAGTTGATTCAAAACACAGAGTAGCTTCTATGTAGAGGTTTACATTTTCATTTTTACATATAAGAATGGGAATAGAAAAATAAATCCATTAATTCAGGATGTGCCAGAATTTAAACGGTGAAAAGTGAATGCCAAAGCTGTGGACTAAGGAGTAGCCCCGTAATAACATGTATGTCTTTAAAAAATGAGGGTGTTCCATTGGCAAAGAAAATGACTAAGCTCATGTACCAAGACTTTACTTCTCCAGCCATCTAACAAGACTTTACTGAGCTTCTGCTATGTCCAGAGATATTCAGCAACATGACGTGGAACACAAGTTCCTTTCAAAAACAAGTCTTCCTCCTTCCTGAGTATGATATGAATAAAACATAAGCAAATCAGTTCACATTGCAAAAGATCAAAGGCAGAAGGTGAGGGTGCAAAGGGGGAAACGGTGTTCTGCTTTACAAAGCTTCCTTGGGCATACTGATAACAGACGTGTACAAAGTACAGAGCGGTTGTATGATGTAACCACTCTGACTGGTACTTGACTTACACAGGTATACAATACATCATGTAACCGCTGTCTCAGTCTTGTCTCTGGGAAAGTTAGTTTGCTGTTTATCCACGCAATGTGGACACTGATGATAAAGAGGTTAAGTAGTGAAATAGATTCAGAATCTTTGTCAGCATCTGTGTGCATGGGGATTGAGGTTAACGTCATTCACAAAGGGGAACAAGCACCACTTTGCATGGAAAAAAATCAGCTCTACAATTCGTTTTCATTCCTCCCTAATCTTACTAGGTCTTGGTGCAGTACAAATGTTAGGCTGTCAGGAACCCAGAAACAGATCTGGTGGATGGAACAGCTGATTGGCAGCTTTGTCAGATTCATGATTCAGCTTTTAAAATGCTTTTTTTTTTTTTTTTTTTTTTTTTTTTCTGTCCTGGAACTCGCTATGTAGACCAGGCTGGCCTTGAACTCACAGAGATCTGCCTGCCTCTGCCTCCCGAGTGCTGGGATTAAAGGCATGGGCCACGATGCCCGGCTTTTAAAATAATTTTTATTTGCAGGTAAGAAGGGTTATCTGACCAGAATCAATGACAGGAAGACTAGAGTGAATGATCCTGCTGACATGCTGGAAAACAAGTCAAGACAGACAGCACCAAGGCCAAGTTCAGTCTGACTGAGAGACCATTGACTAGTCCAAAGGTTTCCAAATGGCCTCAACTTCCATAACCCATGATAATTACCTAAGTAATTAATTAATGTGTGTATAGGCACAAAGTTGCCACAGCGCATGTTTAGACATAAGAGGATAACTTTCAAGGGTTGATTCT